AAAATTTTAATCTAAACATGACAACATTGCAATTGCTGCCAACTGAAGTTGTTTAAAATACATTAAAATATTCAATTGCAGACTTCGTTTTATACATTTAGTATTGGTACCATCGCGCAAAATTATGACGTCATCGATGACGTATACGTCGTTTCCTTTTAAATTTACTATATGCTGATGATATTTGAATTTTCTATAACGACAAATATTGAAACTAAAACAGAAAATGATTTAAATATGTTAAAGGATTGCTTTGACTTTAAAATAAAACCCACTTTTACCGTTTTCTATATCAACCTCAAAAAGGCCTAACTAACAATCTGAACTTTGGAGGGAGTGTAATAAAATCATGTTTGGTAGCTGAATTACAATTAGATGCGCATCTTAGATGGGACTATCAAATAGGATCTTTAATTAAAGAAAATAGATAAGGTCAAACATTAGATCTCTAAAGAATATTTTAGATATTCCCACGGTAAAAATTACTATGCTCATTTGAGATATGGTTTACTTGCTTAGAGAGTGTCACTTAAATAAAGTAAAATTAATACAAAAAATACTTCTCAAATTGTTTTCTTTAATGCCAAAATTGTTTTTCCCTAAATAATCGTCCTAATCATTTTCCTAACTTCTTAAAATTAACTTTTTAACCCATACTTTTTTTAGATTTATTTAACGGAATAAGCTCTTTAACAATGAAATCTTCTTTGATAAATCCAAAAAGACTAGGTATCTTGTAAAGCTTTTAAGCCTGGAAATAAACAAATCCCGTTTATAAAAACAAAAAGAGCAATTATATTTCGCAATTTGACCCAATTGTGTTGTCCGCAAACAAAATGCTTGATTGAAAAAACCCATAAAAAACTTTTATTTACGAGTGTTTGCTTTTGCATCGCTCTAGAACAAATGTTCGGTGTGAGTTCTAATATCAAAACAACCGCAGGGATATAAACAATATTTATGAAAACAATACAGGATTTGCAAACGTCTGTTTGTCAAAATGGCGCAGTAATTTCTTCCGGTACATAATTCATTAGGTTTTGTTTGAAAAATCCTTTTTTTAAATAATTATAATTAAACAGTAACCACATCAGGTAAGAATATAAAACGTACAAGTTTTGTTTTATAATATATTGTAAAACGAGTGTTACAACATTTTATAATATAATTTTAATAAACAAAACCAAAAGAACAGTTTTTGACACATCTTTCACATGAAAATTAAAAGGGTTGCTTACAGTATCAGAAGATCTAAGTGTCTTAGATCTCGTTCCAGCATCGAAATAGACAAAGACCTTTAAACCACATAGGACCTTTAAGTGGTACAAATTAGCCGATTAAGCATTGCATTTTTGCTTACAAGGCAGTAAAAAACTTTTTGATCCTGCAAGATGTTCTGAAAGAAAGTGGCAAAATATTTTTGCTTATCTATACAACTCAATTCAAAATAAGGTCGTCTATGGTCTTACTTGACTGGCCGTAGCATACTGTGTAGTGTTGTAAGGTTGTAGACAATGATGTTTCTTGAATAAATGAGAAGATTTGGACTTCCACTGCCTTAGTATTTCTTAGTCTTCGACTGGTAAGTATCACCAATCGTCTTCAGGTGAAGATGACTGGAGATACCTACCAAGTCGAAGTTCAAAACCTTTATTTTATCAATACTGTGTAGTGTTAGGTTTTATAAAACGTGTTATACAATCTTAATTAAAATTATTAAGGTTATAAAATTATTCTTTACGAAGTAGTACTGTTACAAGTCACTTTTAGACCATGTAGAATTATCATCTTTTACATGAAAAATCATTCCATAACTTTTACAAACTTTTTTGTCATTACTTGTTTTACTTTTTAGTGCAATTAGTTACGCGTACTTGTAAAGATTTTCAAATAAAACACTAATTGAAAATTCTGCTGCATATTTCATAACAATAGCCACGCAATCAACTAGATTGTAATTGAAACATTACCCGGTGTTTTAATTAAGGTTTCAGTATTATTAAAACAAAAATATGGCAATTAAAATAAAACTTCGCCAAAAGGAAATTGTATGTGTACATTTTTTCGAAACAATCTTAAATATAATCTATCGCAAACAATCAAGATTTAATTACGATAAACCTAGCGTCCATGTTCAAATTTGAATATCTTGTTATATACAATTAGTATTCTAAATAAAATATATACAAAAAACCTATTTAAATCCGCTAATGAAGTTCCTTTGAAGAAAAATTAAAATCTGTCCAACAATCGTGTTTTATTTCGTTGAAGTTTGAATACATTTTTAATGCACCTTGATTGCCTGAAAAGTTTGATCAAAAAGTCTAATTGACTTGATACAGCTGCACAATTTGACTTTGTTTAATGGAATTTGCATTGGATTAAGGCATTAATTAATGTTATATTGTAATTCTCAATTTAATATACTTTTTTTGGGTTTTCTTGATAATTGTGTTTTCATTATTTATTGTAAAAACATATTTTGTAAATTTTAACAAATGATGGACCAATTCTTTATAATTTTGGTTTTTACATTTATAAAAGTGTCAAAAATGTTTTAAAAGTGAACTATAGCATTAACATTCAGTAAAAACTGATAGTTCTACATAATTCATGATTAAATACTAATGGATTCGTTAAGAAATTCAGTTTTAAAAAATCACCCCTTATTAATTGAAAATTTACGTTTTACATCACATTCTTTAGTTCTTGATTTCCCAAAATAAAATTTATGTTGAAAAATAGTCTTCAATTTTTTACCTCTTCCAAGAGTCGTTTCCCCTATCTGAGGACACACGGTTTATTTATATCTCTCTTATATGGGTGAAAATAACTGGTTTAAAAAGAAAAAAATCCCTACCATTTAATCAAAGTCCAAGAATATAAAACATATGCTTGATTCTTAAAAAAATTAGCTTTTCAAAATTAGTATTATTGTCGCAAAGGTCATCTGAAAGTCACAATAAAAGACAAATAACATTATAACAAATTTGTATCATTCATTGTTAAAATGTATAAAATATTTTTTTACAATAAATAATGAAAAATCACTTACTGGTCAGTTATCAAATTATAATCATCAACATGTTTGTAGCCCAAAAAGAAGGGGGATGAAAATGACAGTTTCAGTTTTAAGTGTGTATCTCTAGAAAGTAAAAAAAAATCAAAAAAATAAATAGATTTTGGTATAAGACACCTAAAAGATCATTCTCAATTTTTTTTACAAACTTGTTTATAAACCTTTTAACTACAAAATATAAGATATTGCGTCACCGTCGATGTAGTAGTTTTTTAGGAACTTCTTAGACCAGCATACTGAAATGTTATAAAAATTTTAAAAAGTAGTGCTTACATTTTGCCCATCTATTTGTTGTCATGTATACTAACAACTATCGTTGAAATAGCTCACAATTAGACTATACTTGAAACATTAAGTGCTATATTCTTCCAACGTATTCTCAGGCTAGTTTACTATATGGCCCTGCATCCTTAAGCCACTTGGAAAAAATAAGTTAGGTTTCCACTGAGGTCAGATCTATTTTTTAGAGCGAGATAATAATATACGAGGTGTGTTCAGAAAATAACGGGAATTGTTAAATTTCGCGGGTTCGGAGGGTCCGGTTGTCATAAAATTTTCTTTATTATGTTTTCATACGTGCCCCCGAAGTATGAAAAAAACTTTAGCTGTTTTCATTGTTTACTTTGTCTGTGGCAGCCGCTAAGGTTAAACGTGTTTTATGAGCTCGGCGATTTTTCGTTCTTGAAAAGAAATGGATCAAAGAATTTGTATCCAATTTTGCTTAAAAAATGAAATAAATTCTGTGAAATGTTAACAAAGGCCTATAGTGAGTCTGCTATAAGTAAAACAAGAGTTTACAAGTGGTATAAGAGTTTCCAAAATGGCCGTGAAGACGTTGAAGATGACGAACGCCCCGAACACACAAGCACATTAACAACCGATAAAAACATGAAAAAGTGGAAGAGAAGTCGCTGATGATGTTGGTTTATCGATTGGCTCATCCCATGAAATTTTTTCGAATGTTTTGGGTATAAAACGCGTGGCAGCAAAATTTGTTCTAAAATTGTTAAACTTTGAACAGAATTTTTGGCCAAAACAATACTGTAATGATGCCTCAGCCTCCATATTCGCCAGACATGCCTCTGTCTGACTTTTTCCTATTCCCAAAAATAAAGAGAACCTTTAAGGGCCGTCGTTTTGCAAGCATAGATGACATTAAAAGCGCATCACTGAAAGAACTAAAGGCTATCCCAAAGATCGAGTTTTAGAAGTGTTTCGAGCATTGGAAGAAGTGCTGACACATGTGCATAATATCCAATGTGGACCATTTTGAAGGCGACAACATTAATGTAGACGAATAAATAAATATTTGTTTCAAAAAACGAAAATTCCCGATATTTTCTGAACACACCTCGTATGTTTTAAATTGATATTTATTTTAAATACTAAGATAAAAGTAGTGGTTTCAAAATAGTGAAAACAAGTAATAAAGTCAGTATAAATAATGGTTGTATCAACGAGTGACCTAAAATGACAAATATTCAACATTTATTCCAGTGAAATATTTTACGTATATTCGAACACGCTTCCTTGTTTGATTAAAATGTGTACAGCGTTCCGTGTTGTGGATCCTATATAACTGCAGTTTATTTATGTTTTTTTTTACTGCCAACGTCCTCTGGGATACATGTTTGGGATAGGGTGGCATCGCTTTGTTTGCGGTGCAAATTGAAAAACCGGAAAAAAATAACTTCTTTTACGACTATATGGGTTTCGAATAACTTATGGCGGGAATTTACAGCTCAATGCGAACATAAAATTTTCTTTTCCGGACTTGCACGTTGGTCGATCGTCTGGAGGAAAAACATCTATTACCAGGTTATAACAAGTCAATGTGATATCCTTGAATATGCACGAAACGAAATTTTATTTTTATCCTTCATTTTTCGTGTTTGTTAATTTAGGTTTTTGTTTGTTTCAGATTCAAGAGATGACTTCATCCGACTGCACTTCAAAGGGTTTTAATGAAGCAGAAGTGACATAGGGCCTCGAGCGGCGTTACAATGTTCGTTAAACTCAACTGGATAATTATTTTTCTGATCCTTCTTATAAATTTAATAGCAGCGTGTCCGCCGTCGTGTCTATGCAAATGGAAAAACGGAAAGGAGACGGTCGAATGTCTTAACAAAGAATTTTTAATTATACCTGAGGGCATGCCGACTGCCACTCAAGTGCTCGAATTCTCGGGCAACAATCTGCAAATACTTCAAGAGCAAAAGTTTCACAAGCTGGATTTGTTGAACTTGCAGCGAATTTACTTGGCGCGCTGCAGGATAAGCAGCATTGAGAGCCGGCCGTTCCGAGGCCTGTCCAATCTCGTCGAACTAGATCTTGGCAGTAATTCGATAGACGCGGTTCCCACGGAATCATTTCTCGATTGCCCGTCGCTGATGAAATTAACTCTCAGCCATAATCCGGTGAAGGCGCTCGGCAAAGCCGCGTTTAATCATCTGTCCTTTTTAACCACTCTTGAGCTCAACAATTGCGAAATATCGGAGGTGGACAGGAACGCTTTTCAAGGTCTGCTGGCGCTCGAGTGGCTCAACATGCAAGGAAACAAGTTGAAGTATCTGAACGCCGCTCTGTCTCTCCTCGACAGCTTAAAAGGGGCCCAACTGCACGAAAACCCCTGGTATTGCGATTGCCATTTAATAAAGCTGCACGATTGGCTGACTAGCTTTAAACATCCGCAGTCGGTGGAGCCGATTTGCACCGGACCACCCAAGCTCAAGAATAAAGTGATTAAAGCGGTGCCAACTCCCGATTTGGCCTGCTTGCCGGATGTTACTCCCACAACGTTCTTTCTGGAAATCGAGGAGGGCAAAAACATTTCCCTATTGTGTCAAGTGGGTGCCATACCCGAAGCGAAAATATCGTGGATTTACCAAGGTCAACTCATACAAAACGACTCAACCTTGGAGCCCGGCGTGCATTTGACGTTTTTCGTTGAACAAGGCACTTTGGAGAAAAAAAGCGAGCTCTTTATATACAATGCCAATAGTGAGGATAACGGGACTTTCGTGTGTGCTGCGGAGAATTCTGCCGGCGTTTCGCAGGCCAACTTCACGATCCGCGTGGTCATCAAGCAAGAGCCTGTGGTCGCACAAAGCAACGAAATACCATTTGAGTTCATGATAGTAGTTATAGCGGCCGCGGGATTATCTTTGCTGCTGTTAGTTTTGGTTTTAATATTATCGGTTGTTAAGTGCCAGAGGAATAACAGGTTGAGGAAGGAGAGGGAGAACTCTAAGGCGGCTGTACGAAACACCACGAAAGACAATCTACTGCAGGATAGCACCGACGAATCTGATCCAGCGAAGGATAATTGTAATTTAAAGTTAGTAAACGCGCAGGAGGATTTGATGTTGTACAACGTGCATTGCCTGGATGAGGAGATGATTGCCATGCCGCCTACTCAGCTACACGTAGAGAACATTCCGTTCTGTCAGGATCAAAACCCTGACATTATTAACGGAACTGAGTATATAATTCAACACGAGATGGTGGAAAAGAATTGTATAGTTTCTAAGAAGTGCACATTGCCGACCATAAACGAGTATAAAGCATCGGAGAGTGCGTTTATTCTGCCGTCAGACGTGCGATTGAACCCAATGGGACTCATCCAATCAAGTGAGGTGCGGGCGCAGAAATTCCCCGGCAACTGTTACAAGACACTTCCGTACAACAGGGTAAACAAGCGGCAGAGCGCCGCGAATCCGACTGGGCGCTTCTCGCACGAGGCGGAGTTTCTCAGCCGTAGCGCCCAGTGCGCCTACGAGAACTACGAGAACGACGTGCGGTATACGGCGGACGGGTACCCGGTTAGGACTATCGAGAACTACGCGTACTCGCCGCCCGGTTCGCACAAATCCGTGAGCTCCAGCAACAGCGAGCCGTGTTGCTCGACGAAAGTGCAGTGGCCGGCATGCGTTCCCGCCAAGCTGAAGGAAAACAATGTGATAAAGAAAAGTGTCGGCGCTCAGACCCAAACCGAGTGTGTTTCGCCCAAACTTACAGGCAGTGCGGTTAATGTCAAGAAAATTGTGGAATCCTTGGAAGAGAAGTGCGTCGACGGAGACAGGTTGTAAGGATTTACGAACGTTAAGTTTAAAACGTAGTAGAAACTTTTTGTTATGAAAGGAGATTCTCACAGTTCGTTTAAAAAGTAATATTGCAAACAATTTAGATTTCCAACTTTTACAACTTTTAATTTAACTTTCTTCATCAATTTTTTTTTGAAATTTTTATTCATTTGTATTATTTTGGATCAGACTTGTTCATGCGGTAATAAATTACAATCCTGCTATACAATATACATTCTACATTGATTTTGTTACCTAGATTTACCTACATATCGATGACTTTGCGCCAAAGTATCGCAAGCAACATAACTCAAATTTCTGTTTTAAACCATATACAGTGTGTATTAAAACGAATAGATACACTTAAATAAAACAAGTGCCAAACCCCGCCCACTGTGGTAGGGATTGAAGGTATTTTCGTTATTTTAGAATTATTTTTGTTCGAGAATTTATAGGTTTTATTTATAGAATTCGTTTGTTTTGTTTTAATGCATTTCTGCAAATAAAAACTAAGTATTGTTTAAAATCCATTAAATTCCAGTTAATGGCGAAAATGTATTTTTTAAAAACTATACACATTTCCCTACGACAGCGTCGGATCTACTGAACAAACACAGTAGATCAAACTGCATGCCCTTGTATCTGGCTGCATGCCGCGCTGTTGCCATATGCTATTATTGTTTCCTAAAAGGGTTGTTTTTCTTATTTTTTAATATTAAAAGTAAGAAAATTAACTAAATCAAATTATTTTTGACATATTATTAATTTTTTGTTATTTTTAAAGTTTCAAACAAATAAAATTGAACTATTTATTAAATAATTATAATCTTTCTCTTCTGATTTAAAACAACCTGGTAATTACGAATGGCTTGGTTTAAACCACGCCCAATTAAAGTTTGTTTCTTTTTCTCTGATCAGAATATAATTTGTCATCCTTGTCTCCAGCCTTACTTACTTGATTCTATACAGTCTGTATAACCTGTAGGGTTTATAACACGTAAATTACTTGTTATAAAACCTTTACACTATATTTAATTTAAAACAGACTTTAAAACAAAAATTGTTTTCAATTCCAGAAATTTCAGTTATGTTGTATGCGATACTTTGGCAGAAAGTCATCGATATGTCTACATAGAGACCGAACTCTTAGGCACTTAAATATTAAAAAAAGCACCCAAGAAAGGTAAAATGAGCACCTCACAAAACAATAAACACACACAGGTTTAATTCTGGGTGGTCACATCGAAGCGCTGACCATAGCTTCTCGTATAGGTCGAATAACAGGTCTGGTGTGCAAATCGGTGTTTATATATTTTTGTGAGCTCACCAAAATAAATAAACACATTGATTATCTACGGTCGCAGCGATGGTCGGCGCTTCATTGTGCACACCAAATGGGTTTCGATTTAGCTTACTATTTTATTTCGTGAATATTTTTTTATTAAAATAAGGTTAAGTATTTAGGTATTTTAGCCAAGGTTTTGTGTAATAAAAAATGTGCAAAACAGATTTTGCAAAATTGAATCCGGTCTCTAGTAATGACTAGTATGACGCGATAAACGTAGGTGCATCATTAATAAAGGCAATAACACTGTAGGGAGCTAAAAATATCTCAGCTAAACGCTTGGACACGTAAACTTATATTTTGGCCGTATATTACAAATCCGTGCTTGGTTTAGCTGTATCAGGTCAAAATTCAAAGATATTTAATTTTCAAGTTTTGAAGCATTCCATTAGGAAACTCCCTGTATAAATATAAAAAAATTGAATTGGGGTGGACCTACACAACAGGTCCAAATTAAAATATGACATTTGTTATAGCTTATTTTTAAATCATATACTCAAAGTTTGAGAAAAATCTGAGACGGCGTTGTAAACTTTTACTGTTAAAGTACGCCAATAATTCCAATTTCAAATAATTTAGCAAAAAAGTAATTTAACCGTATGAATAAAACATAACTTTTGTTAAATAGTTTAATCTCAAATTCTTAATATTTTTTTCTTTGCAATATACTTTTTATTGAACCGTGTTCTATATGAGACACTTAAGGTTTAAATTTTCGAATATTTATAAAATTTGAAAATTAAACTAGCTATTTAAAGAGAAGAACAAACCAATCTTACAACTAGAAAAAAGGTTACTTCTACTTTTATGCTAATAAACCACTCATAGAGTCTTCTTATTTGTTTTATTATATGAAACTGTAATTTTGTATGCCATTTTTAAATTTATTTCAAATTGCTTAACCACGCTCCGCTACAGTTTTTTTTATTAGTATCTATAACCACAAAACTATAAATTCTATTTATTCAAAATACAATTTCGTATAATGTAAATCCGCGTTACCAAAACCAATTTAAAAATGGCATATTTCAAATATAGATCCATGAAGTTATTTAAAATGTTATTAAAACTTCATACTGAGAACATAACTATTTTTAAAATGAGAACTGATATAGGGTAATAAAATATGTAATTAAAACTGGATTATAATTAGAACCGGATTATAATCCTAAATTATGATTTATGTCTTTCATTGTATATAAATTATTAATTTTAATATGCTTTTATACATTTATTATATTATTATTTCAGGAGGATTATTGTATTATAAATATTAGAACAGTGTATTTCGCAATAAGGACTAATGAATGTTGTATACAATCGCATTTTTATGTTATCCTTCAAAATTTAATATATGTCTATTTCACAACTTTTTTTAATTGAAAAAAAGCAATATGCAGAAAATAAATACAGTGTGACCCATTTGTTTGCGAATCACTCCTGTAAAATCTTTATTTATTGTGCGATTTTGAGAGAAAATTTTGAAGAATTCATATTTACTTTATCAATATCTACACTTAAAAAAAATCCGGTTAAAATCGCTCAATAAATAAAGATTTTACAGGGGTGAGTCGCAAACAAATGGGTCACACATTATAGTTTTTTTTGGTAGTTCCATATCACAATGTAATTTGTGTGACCATAATTTTAATCCTGTACATACCATTGTTTCTGTTTATACTTTATATAATTTATATTTGTTATTTACTCTGTAAATTTTCTATTTCATAAAGTAGTTGACTTTCTGATAGAAATAAAAAACTATTTTAAATAAAAGTTATAAAGCTTTTAAAAATGTAAATGACAGATCAAGGAAAGATTAAAAAATAAACTGTAGATTTTTATTCGTTAAGACCTAGAAACTCACTGTATTTAAGTGTGTATATTTGTGATAAGGTATGTATTACAAGTAAAAGATGAATTTAAAAAATTAAGTCGGTAGGCAATTTTACTGATTTCGCGGTTTTTGTTATATCTTTAGTGTTAATGTTAATAGAAACCTTTTCAAACAACCCCGTATACCTGATTATTATGTTAAATAATTTTGTATATAAAATAAAATTTATCAAACAAACAAGAGTTTTTTTCTCCCCATATTTTTTTCAGGCAAGACATTTAAAGTATGAAATATTTTAACTGGTAGAATAATTTTTAACAATTATTTTTTGGACAAATAACCCTCAGGGGATTTAAAACTGATAAAAGGGTAAGCTTTCCACCTTGAGACACCATTTGTTACCCTAAGGCGATTTATTCCGATAAACGGAGTTAAAAGATAAAAGTATTTGCGAGGTGGGTACACAGGTAGATTAGAGGTTTTCTTTATTAAAAGATTTATAGGATTATAACATTTAAATGAATAATAATAATATTATATATTCTTCATATAATTAGAATAAAAATTTTAAAAGGATTTTGGACAATGTTAAACCATAATAAAGTTAAGCAATTTAATTATGTTTGTATTTTTGTTTAAAACAATTTAAAATAAATAAAATTACAGAATCACAGAACTCAAAATGGAAACATTTATTACCCAAAAAAACATGAGTTAATACAGGCATACGACCTATAAAGTATGGGCCGATGAAACTACAACTTTATCCAGAAAGGCTTTTTTAACTGGACTCTCTTCCGGTTTAAAAAATCCTTGCTTTTATATTTACTAAATATAGTAAAATATGTTATTATTACACAATTCTTAAATTTGGCTTTGGAAATTTAAGCAACAATTTTTGCATTTTTGGTTAAATGGAAACAAATAATGATTTTACACATTCTCTAAAAACAGTTGAAAGTGACTAGGTTACATTTTAACATGTAAATTTTACATTCCAAAATAAAACCATTTGTCTTAAACCTTTGGATAACATTTGACTTAGAATAACAGGAATTAATTTATCTTTAAACGCAGTCCCATAGCAATCATGATACTAGCAGATCCGGTCATAATTAATTTGACAGTGTTGTTGGTTTAATCAAATAATATGTAACAAATGTAAATATTTAGATAACCAAGCAACCGAATCCAACTAACACGCTCACACAACAAAGCAATATTCATTTAATTATATGTTATATCATGTTTATGCACAGTTTTTCTAGTTAGTGCATTCATTTAATGAAATGTATACTTTTACTGTAACATTTATATATTTTTATTATTATTTTGAAATGTAAATTGGTACAGAGTAAATAAATACAGTAAATATAGTCGTTGATTGTAAAAAGGGTTTATAAGATCTTCAGCCCGGCTAACGGCTAACCGGCTAAACCGCTAATTAGCTGAACTAAGCTAGATTAACCGGTTAAGCCGCCAGCTAATTATCTAAGCTAATTTAGTTAACCGGTTAAATTAGCTAAGCTGATCAGTTAGCTAGCTAATTAACTTAGGCAAATTTTTTAGCCGGCTTAACCGGCTAAATTGTACAGCCCTACTAAAGATCGACAGACATAAATTATTTTGACACACGTTGTTTATTTTAGTTTTGTTAAGTTCTAAACACTTATTTTTATTAAGGCTAGCCTCTTAAGTTTATGCATATATTATAATGCATTATATGCCAAAGGTTTAAAACTATATCAGGGCCAACTTTAAACGATACATTTTTAAAATTTTTAGGTTAACTGCTATCTGTATTACTATAATATGATAATCTCCTACAAGAGGCTTTCCATTTTTATTGTATAGAAGTACTTTTATAAATATATTTTTTTCATATATCAAACAGAAAAATATGTTAAACTTTTAGCTATAAATCGCTGATGTTAATACCGAAATCTGAATTATTCTTGTTTACTTCGGTGTTTATATTTCTCAATAGCTACTCATCAAATTTCGTCATTCAGTTTAGTATGAAGTTAAATATTTACTTTGAAGAAACATTCTCTGAATTCTGGATGTTGTCAAGGTCCTTGAGATACAGCAACCCTACGTGAGAAGGGCGCATTATATTATATTAGGCAGAAAAAGCCGAGTTATTCATTAAGATATTTGTTTGTACAATTTCCATTCCGTTAAATATATTCTCTGTTATCACAGATGTTCACCTTAAATAAAAAGCAACCAACTGGT